TTGTTGTTGTTGTTGTTGTTGTTGTCGTCGTTGTTGTTGTTGTTCTTCTTCTTCTTCTTCTTCTTCTTCTTCTTGTTGCTGTTGTTGTTCGTGTTGTTGTCGTTTGTTGTTGTTGTTGTTGTTGTTGTTTGGGGTTATTGTTGTTTTTTTATTTTGTTTTGTTATGTTTTTTAAATTGTCGTATATTTCAAAAGGTTTTTAGATTTTTTGTAATAGTTCTACGGCGTTTGCAACACGATAACGTTATATTAGAACTGTTGAAAAGTAGAGGTGTTACAAATACAAGAGAGTAACAAAGACAGAAATGAAGAAGGACAGATAAGTACGACAAATGTTTGATAAAAAAGAAAAAGCAAATCAAAAGCCAGAGCATCTGCCAACCAACCACCCAAAAGGTCAAACAAAAAAATATAATACAACGTGTTTTTATTCCACAAGACAACGACAACCCAAGGTCGAAGGGACATTGAACAACGCTGCCGAGACAAAAAGATACACATTATAATATTCATCCTAATGCATAATGTGCCTATTCCCCTTTGGTTACATTTCAAACAATCACATTATTACCTAATGAAGTTCGCGATCGACCAGCGATTGCCAACTCTATTTTATATCCAGCGCCCATTATTTGCCACTTTGAAAAGAAGCTAACGTTTTAGTCAACACCTACCTCGCGAACCTTAAATTACATCTAAATATTCACGATAAGGGTGTAATTGTAACGTAGTTGCAGATGATGTATGCCCCCATCAACGAAACTTCGATCATTTAACCCTAACCGTAGGCCCTGGGGTCATTTGTACCCCGGAGTTGTATTCTTCACATTTTAGAATATTTCTAGTACGAATATCTCCTTCAAACTTTCAGCATTTCTAAAAGAAATTGTTTTGACAGACTACTATGCAAAGCGTACAGATACGATTAATGAGTAAATTTCCTATTTGGAAAGTGGTGGCACAGAGTTCCCGTCGTCGTATAGATACGATAGTAAAACAAGACGTAAGGTAAGGAAGCGGGCTGCGTTGACGATAGCTGTGAGGGTCAAGCCGTGCTGAGAGATGGAAACAATGTCCCGACAAACAGACGAAGATACTTTATAATCTACCCGACCCTACCCTTTCCCACACATACACACACACAAACGCGCGCGCACACGCGCACACACACACACACACA